TTTCTCCCGTCAAGTGCTCGGCACGAGTTGGCGTTGCCTGCTTTTATATGACAATCCATCATCATCACCTTCGTCATCATCATCACCATCATCATCATCAGCCACGGTCCCTTCTATGGAACTTATCAGTCTGCTAAATGACAACGCCTTAATTACCCAAAAAAAAAAAAAAAAAAAATAAAATAAAATAAAATAAAAAACAAAAACAGCTTTAAGCAAGCTCGACACGTGCGCAGAGTTCATTATATTGCATCACATATGTATAACACCCATATAGATCAGGGATCTACCCTGGCTCTGAGAGATCACAGTCAAAGATTTGTGCTGGTAGAGCCGTATAATCGAATATATTCTTCAGTTGAGAATGGGAGTACGCTGATAGTCGGCTGTCATGGTGTACAGGCAGAAGTAGGCGTGGCAGAGATGGGGCATATGTATATGTATGCATGCTTATGTATGTACGCTCAGAAGACAACAGAGATTTCATCAATCAAGCCAGAACCTCACAATTCAAATATGCATTTATTCTTCCATCATTTCATGCAATGCAAGTTTATAGTGTTCATCCCTCGATAATTTATTATCGATCAAAATCGATAATTCGATTCTATTGTTGAAGGCATGACTTTAAATTTTACCATAAAGCACCGTATTCTTGTAATGCATTTGTAGATATAATATTATATCTGGAATGGGTAATATTTAATATCAATTTGCTACCGTATGCATATGAGAGTGTCCAGCGTAGTCCTCAGTCGGTCACTCCCCATCGGAGCAGTCTAAGCTATTTTGCTTAGTCAATTTTAAAAATTTCAATTTATCTTGTTTTTCCCCTATTTTCTGCTCAGCTCGTTAGCTATTTTCAAATTTAAATTCATTGTCTAAAATAACTTTGGTAGAGCACAAGTTGAACTTTTGGGATGATTTGAGTGGATCTTTTGATAGCTATGGTAAATAGCTAAGAGAACCATTTGGCTTTCTAAAAATTCTCTATATTATAAAAAATCTAACTTGTTCAGGCTCGCGCCTAAAGCGAGCACTACTTGAGCTTCTCATTTTAAGATTCATAGTTCTATGCACTGGGGACTGTCCGATTGACTAATGTAAATACCAAGGGTATTACGGACTATAAATTAAAAATTAAACATCGACCCATTCAATTCATGAATGGCTAATGCCCTCTATCCTGCCTCTACCCTGCCTCTACCCTGCCTCTACCCTGCCTCTATACTGGCTTTACCCCGCCTCTGCACGGCTTTTACCCTGGCAAGCCCAGGTAGTGAAAGTAGCCCACGAATCCGGTCAGTAGTTCTCTGAGATTTGGTTTAATTTAGTTGATTTATTGCGTACTATCGTTTGCTCTACAAGTTGGCATGCTGGATGATCCAGTCGCGATGGTAGAACACCTTGGCATAGCCATCGGCCCGGGAGGAGCCGCAGCCGGTGACCACAAAGCCAGCGACGCCCACGAGCTCGCCATTGTAGATGGCCGGGCCGCCAGAGTCGCCGTTGCAGGCGCCGTTGTCCTTCTCGTGGGCCAGGCAGAGCATGCTGTCCCTGTAGACTGCGATGGAGGTGGCGCATTGCAGCTTCGATAAGGCGCTGAGCGTATTGAATTGCAGCTGGCGCGGCAAGTCGCCCTGGTGCCAGAGCCTGCCCCAGCCGGAGATGACCACGTCGCTGCCGGCCGGTGTCTCCGCGCTGGCCAGTGGAATGGCGCGTATCTGGTTGGAGTAGATGAGCGGGCTCTCCAGCTTCAGCAGCGCCAAGTCGTTCCAGAAGCTGTTGTATTCCTCATGCACTCGCACGTGAGCCACATTCCTGATCATGCCGCCGACGAAGCGGTCCAGGGTGCCGGCCCGAATGGTGATCTCACTGGCAGGCGTGCTGCGCATTTATGTAGATGTATATGGAACGAAAATGGGTTAGGATTACTGGGATGGAGTCCAGCTGAGCTGCAGCACTCACGGGATCAAAGTTCCGTTCTCCAGCTGTTGGGTGACGCAGTGGGCTGCGGTCAAGATGTAGTCTCGGGCAATGATGGAGCCGCCGCAGATGTGGACCCCCTGGTAGCGCAGCGAGATCTGATGCGGAAACTGTGCAGCGCTTGCATCCTTGCCCCCGACCACGCGTCCCGTCGGCGACGACTGGGGAGCCGCCGAGATCACGGTCAGAGCCGAGCAGGCAAATATCAGAGCTCTCCACATGGCGAAGCTAGCGAGTGGTTGTCGACGATGGGAGAGTAGGTCTATTTATTCACTAATCTGAGTGGATTACTGGTTCCAGTCCATATCTTATCACCACGGGTAAAACTTGTGTGAGATATGTCTCTCTCGCTCTGATCATCATCATTAGTAAACCGTGTTCCTTCTCCCACAAATAATATAAGAGAACTCGGGAATATCCGACCTGAAGATAACCAGCGAATAGGAATGAAATGCGTTTATAATAAACACTCAATCGGACATGTGGACGGAGATTGTCCAAAACCAATATACTCTCTTTGCAGCTTGAGCGGGTATATGTACGTAATCGATAGCTTATCCGTCGGTTGCTGAATTGTGGGCTTATCCGTCAAGGGTTTCGCCCATAACATTAAATTGCGTGTTATAAAACTTTGGCTTTTCAGCCGTGTGATATATTGTGGGGGAAGGTTCCCCGGCTACGCAACAGCCTCTATAAAAGTACAATATGTACGGCCTTTAGCATTAAGAACCTAATGCGATTATAGACTACGCCTTGAGATTATAATCAGCTTATTGGCAAGTTGTCGAACATAAGTACAAATGCTGCAATCAAATTTTGATTTATACTAAAATCCCTTCTATACCATCAATTCCAATATATCATTCATATAAAAAACTTCTTTCCTATGACTCTAGAAGATAGATGAACTCAAAGATGTTAGAGGATGGCCATTCAAATTTGTAAATGAATAGATCTCGGTGATCCTGAATTCGATATATGTATGTATATACTGACTCAGTGAAATAAATATAATCTAGATTACGGCCAGTGAGCAATACAAGGTTATCTATTTCATTGATAATTCATTCTACTGCCTTATCGAAATTAATATTCTATATGTTAGAAATTATAAAATATACACAGAAAATGCATATTTTCTAATTTGAATATCTATCATGATCTGTTCAAAATACAACAAAAATATTTGAAATTTATTAAAGAGATGGATATAGAAAATTTCGAAATTATTGATAATGTTTGCACATTATATTATTTGGTCGGTCACTCTACGATAAGAGTATTCCTATATGTTCAAAAATAAAACAATTGATTACTGCGTACAGAGTTCTAAATTAGCATACTAAATATAGTATACCCAAATATTAATCAAACAGTATCTGGTATGTGTCGTAGTTCGATAATATGAGACAAGATAATGCCCTTGAATACTTCACGATGAGATAAGACATCGACAATGATTAAGGATTCACAAGTACGACAAATCCGCAGCTATATCTTATCTATTAATATTTCGTGTCAATGAGTAATCGATACATTTCTAGAAGCTATTTGAGTAGAAAGAAACGTCTCTATAGAGTCTCTTGAATTCTATATTCTGTATGAGTATATGAGGAAAAAGTTATACACTTTTTTCTCGAACTACTATTATTATTGATTTTGCTTTTTTATCCCAACGTAATTCCTATGATATATATTATATACGTGTAACATAATAAGGGTATTCAGACTGCGACTTGACTTTGAAAATGTTTGGTTTGTGACATGATCAGCAATATTTATGGACTGTACAAATATAAATTTAGCGCAGTGGCGAAATATGATTTATATATTCAGAATTTTCTTAGTCATCCAAACACCACGGCCTAATATAAACTAAAATAGTATTGTATAATGCTTACCGGAGAGACCTTACATTGAGTATGTTTATAATAAGAAATGGAGAACTACCTGAATGGATTATCCGCTGCGCTGAGATATTAATAGATCACATAATATTTGAGCCGCCATTTAAGAGGTACATCTATGTAGATGTCTGGTTCTAGATTATAACTGGCTTTACTTGTTAGTTCTTTCACTTTTCCGTTTCCCCGAGAGAGTGAAAGGGAAATAGATTTGATTTTCTATCTTAGATTGGAGCTGGAACTCGAGTCGAGGAATCGTCCTATATAACAAGTTTATTTATCCACTACTAAATGGATCGCCCAATAAACAACAGCTATCCAATTCGTTTCTTATTGGATTTTAATAATGAAAGCAGATATACATATATATATTTGGTATAGACTGGTTGGGTTACATTAGGTTAGTTGCGGAGCTGCTCCTGCAGCCAATCCTTGTAGCCGGCAACGCGCACGAAGACGTCCGGATAGCGAGAGCCGCAGGCGCCGACCACAAAGTTGCTGACGCCGATGAGGCGTCCGTTGTGGATGGCTGCACTGCCGCCATCGCCATGGCAGGTGCCCTCCCTGAGGGCATGGGCCAGGCAGAAGCTCTTGGCCGGATCGTAGTCACTGTACGCGTCCAGGCAGCTGCTGCTCGCAGCCAACTTCAGATCGAGCTGGCGCAGCTTGAACGAGGTAATGCCCTCGACGGTGGTGCCCCAGCCGGAGACGCTGACCTTGGCACCGTCCTCCGGCAGCGCCTCGTCCATGTCCACCAGCTCAATGGTCTGGATGCGGTCCGTCAGGGCCAGCGGACTGGCCAGCTTGATGACGGCCAGATTGTTGCTCAGCTGGTTATAGTCGGGATGGGGGGTGACCGAATCAACGGTCACAATGCGTCCGCCGGCATACTGATTGGTGCTGCCCACGCGAGCCGACAAGCGGCTGGCATCCACACTGCTCCAGAGAGACAAAGAGAGAGAGAGAGAGGGAGAGAGAGAGAGGTATTGAGCATATGAGCACATCCCGGCTGTGGGTCACACTTACAGCTTGCCATCCCGATAGCAGCAGTGGGCGGCTGTCAGCAGATGCGACTCGGAGACGATGCTGGCGCCGCACACGTGCGCATTGTCGATGCGCAGGGATACGGCGTAGGGTGCGTAGTTGGCCGCGGCCTCGTCGCCGCCCAGTATGCGGCCCTCTGGGGCTGAATCGTTGGGCATGGCCACGGCCATGGCCAAGAAGCCGACTAGCAGCAGCAGCAGCAATGCTCCCAGTTTATCCATCTCAGTGTCAGTTCGTAGCTAAGTTTTGGTACGCGAATCGCCTCCTCTTTGTCGAATGCGCAGTGCAAATGCTTCCATGTCGATGGGTTTGTCCGCTTGGCGGCTTTGCGTCGCTGGAATGCCGCCTAAATCTAATCTTATCGCGGTCAGCAGCTCATTTCAACTGTTATTGCTATTATGCCAGCGATAAATTCGCAATGTTATTGCCCAATATAAAGACGGACAGCACATCGGCCGGACGGGGCTTTCAGTTTGGAAAACACGTTCGACCCCAGATAGAAATAGCCGCAACATAATTCTAAAGATATGACGACGATGAGTCAAAGTTCCATTTGAACTGAAGACGGATATACCAAAGATATTCCATTTCAATATCACTCGACAGACATTTCCGTACTTCATTCAAACGATATAGATAATTATATCATAATAGATATACGCAGCATTTATCCATTAAAAGAATTCAATTGACCCTCACATATATTCCACTAGCAGAGCCAAGGCTTAAAGCCATCAAGATTTTGTTTCTTACAATTTCAATAGAATATATTTCATTTTCTATACATATTCCATCTGAATAATCAATTTGTTTTGACAACATATTTTTTATTCGTTACATTCAAAATTGAATTTAAGTTTTTGATAGGAGTTTCACAAATGTTAATTTGTTTTATAGTATTAATTTAACTATATTTTTATAAAATATATAAAAGATTAAACGAAGAGAATTTTTTCATGGCCATTCTCAAACTTTTATTATATGAACTAGTTCTCCTTCTATTTGCATGTCGCTTTTTGTTTCGCTCTCTCCCTCCCTCCTTTTCTCTCTTCTCTCTAGCGCTTTTTTCTTTCTATTTCTCAATTTTTGTCTGCCTAGCTGTTGCTCTCTCTCCCTTGATCTTGTTACCTTTTCCTTCTCTTTTAGTCACTAGTTTTAGAGGGAGAGAACGAGCTTTATTAAATGAGGGCGATAGGGAAACAGAATATCTTTCTGTCTTATTATGATTCTCTCTCTTTCTCTCTCTCTCTCCATCCTATCCTTTGTTCTCTGTCAATACATGTATTTATTTTTCTCTTTTCTCTTTCTTAATCTCTTTCTGTTCCTGACCCTCTTTCTGTCTTTTCTCTTCCTTTCTATATATATCTCTGCACACCTCATTTTATTTTTTTATTGATCTCTGCCACTCTCTTTATATGCGAAATCTCCCGCTCTCTCTCTCCCTCTCTTTCGATCTGTTTCTCACTCTTTCTCCCCAACATTTTGCGTCTATCCTTATCTTTCCTGAATACTTTCCACGAACTGAAGCCCATTCGTGCTGATATCAAATCGAGTGGCTTCAATAATACGGAACCTTTGTTCGTTCTATTTTACAGTAAGCTAACGCTATCTCTCGACCATATAGTAAACGTGTACGATACAACCAATTGGCCGTTAGTTAACTTCTGATATGACCCATTATAATTTATGGGCGCTATAAACGGATTGTTTGGTTCTCACATGCGTGTGTAATTCCCGTCCAGCTCAGAGCCCATAAAACGCTCGTAAATTGGCAATATAAAATAAACACGCGGAAACCCAAATATTTTTGGCTTCTTTTCCTTTATATCTTTTTGTACACTTCACTCACAGTAAAAAAATGTCCAAAAAAATTAAATACATTGACGAAAAGTTGGGTTAAATTTAATTCTGGTTGGCTGCAATCCAGTCAAGATAATAGGCGACGCGTGTTGATATGTCGGGGTATTTGGTGCCGCAGTTGCCCCAGAAGAAGCTGACAATGCCCTGCAGCACTTGGTTATCATCGACGACAGCGCCGCCGTCGTCGCCGCGACAGATGCCCTCGTTTTCGGCTCTGGCCAGGCACAAAACGGAATCATAGCCATAGCCAGCCTGCAGCTCACAATGGGGCTTGCTCAAGGTGTTCAGGCTGGACTTCTGAAGCTTGTAGTTGCTGGTGCCGTTCAACTGCTCGCCCCAGCCGGCCACATAGACGGGCGTGCCATTGGCTGGCACCTCCTCGACTTCGCCCTCCTCCAGGGGCTCGGGCAGTTCAATTTTGTTGACCCGCTCGTTGAATGTTAGCGGCTTGCTGAGCGTCAGTATTGCCAGATCGTGCAAAAAGTTGCCGTACGAGGGATGGATTAGCACCGCGCTGACATCCACCAGCTCGCCACCGGCTAGCACGTTAATGCTGCCAACACGAACCGTTAGCTTGTCGACCGAAAAACTGTAAGGGAGAAGAGAATGTTATGAAGCTGAGCAGCATTAACATTGGAGCCGGAGCTAGAAAGGGAGCATTAGCCAGTAACTCTTTATACAGCTCCAGCTAGAGCTTAGCTTCCTTTAGGGATGAGCTGAAATTCAGCTGGAATGTTATCGATAGTTCAAGTAGTTGCTGCAACTAGTTCACTCCGTGTAACCAGCTCCCATCGAGTAGCTCCTTTTAGGGATGAGCGCTACGCTCTACTTACGGCTTGGCGCCCAATTCGGACACACAGTGGGCGGCGGTCAGCAACTGAGTCTGGGATATGATGATGGCCTGGCATGCGTGCACCTTGTTGACGCGCAGCGATGTCACATAGGGAAACTCGGCTACCTTGGCATCCTCGCCGCCAAGCAGGCGGCCCTGCGGCAGGGCAACAGCCAGACCCAGGATTAGGGTCAAGCTGAGTGCGGCTAGCGAAATGCGTTGGTCTTTCATGGCGTCGGAATGGTAACTAATTCGCCAATCATTGGCTTAGCTGCTTGGCACTTCGGTCTGCATCTAATCTGTTTCTGCGATAAGCATTTAATATGACCTGGTCTACGTCGATTAGATTGCCGGTCATAAAACTCTGACGCCAGTATAAAAGTCTCGGACCTGGGGCCGCCCTCAATTAGTTAGAATTGAGCCTAAAATGAGCCGAGTGCACTACAGTTGGCTGCTCCTGGTGCTGCTTGGTGCAGCTGGTACCGTGGCGGCGTCTCCCTCGAGTCGACTGCTTGCAGGCCAGGCGGCTGCTGTCGGCTCTTATCCGTACAGTGTCTCGCTGCAACGCCAGGGTCTGCACCTCTGTGGAGGTGCTTTGATCAGCAACAAGGTCTGCCTGACAGCAGCCCATTGCGTCACCACCGGCGGCGTTCAAAGGTAACGCCTCAGACAGTTGGACCCAGTCTTTCAGCATTAGCATTAATAACTCGTTTCCTGCCTGCAGCTATCCGCCCCGTACTTTCGTGGTGCGAGTGGGCAGCATCCAGCGCCTGGCCGGGGGTCAGCTGGCTCAGGTTGATCGCATTGTCGTGCACAGGGAATACGCCAATGGGGTCAATGATCTGGCACTGCTTGTGCTCCAGCAACCACTGACGCTGACCGCCAACATACAGCCCATAGCACTGGCCAGCCAGGCGCCTCCTGCTGGCGCCGAGATCACCTTCACCGGCTGGGGAGCCACGACCCATGAGGGGTCTCTCAGCCAACGCCTGCAGGTGGGCAAGCGCCAGGCAATCAGCGCGGCCGACTGCCAGAAGCTGCTCTACTTCGATGACGAGAGCGTCCTCTGCTTGGTGCCAGCATCCGAGACGGCCTCCGATGGCATCTGTCAAGGCGATGCTGGCGCGCCGGCTGTCTACAATAATGAGCTGGTTGGCATTGGCGGATTCGTCGTCGACATCTGCGGCAGCTCCATGCCCAATGGCTTCGTGAATGTCGCCCACTACCTGGACTGGATCAAGGCCAACATGTGAAACTAACAGTGAAACCCTCCAGATGGACTTGATATTATTTAGCTGTGCCGACGGGATGTCTAACTTTTATATAATACAGCTCCATAAGATCTGTAAACTTAAATTGTATTAAGCTGCACAGACGCTATCCTTAAACCGAATTTCCCCCCATGCAAAACTCATTCCACAAACATTTCTAACTGCAATGACTTTTTGGGTTACGCCTCGGATATTGATAAGATTTTGGGGGCATGGTAAAACTGGCATTCTGAAATGTCAAGTTTAATCAAGTAGTTTCATAATTTTTATTGCTCAAAATCTAGTGAGGGTACAGCTTACTCCATGATACTCGCTCATGGAGTCACTCAGGAGTCAGACAAACAATTTTGGACTGAATCTTAAGAGGAACTCAACAATTACATTTATGTAATCCTCGCTTGTGAATCGAGAATATAGTCTATAGGATTTATTCAGTGCCCAGCTGGTTTGGATTTAGTGATATCTGTGTTTTAGAGGTATATCACGACCTTGTAAAACCAGCTGCAATCTTGCAATGGATGAATGTCGATTTCCGAAAAAAACAAAAGCTAATATACTCTATTCACTCAGTGAACGAGCATATGAAATAAGCGAATTTGCATAAATGAGACAGAGGAACAGGTAGCTACAATTAAGTTCCCTCTCCATTAACTCTGTGGAACTGGAGACGTCTTCTTTAAAGCCATTTACAGTTCGTGACTGAAATATCATATGATGATAATAAATTATTCAGTATCAATTGAATGATAAACAAAGTGCACATAAAGACCGAGAGGCTTGTTTGATTGTATATATATATATATATACAAAAGTGAATGTGATTATGTTATCTGAGCCTAGGGTATCTTCTTATTCTTCTTCTTACTTGATAAGCCTCATAGGCTCAAGGAGTCTTTTACCACGATTGTTGACAACTTTTTTGCGTTTGTGTAAGCCCAACGTATATATCAATTTTAGCAATCATATCTAAGAGATAGAAACAAATAGAACAAATAGATACTTTAGGCTACTTGCTGGGTTTGCTCTCACTCCCAGTATTGAGATATTGAGGGGATATTTCCTATTAAAAGACTTAGATCAGCTCTAAGTTCTTAAATTTTTTACTCCATTCGAAATGGGAGCTTATGTACTTACTAATAAAATCTGACTATAGTTCGAAATGTGTATATATTCTGGGAAAATGATTATAATGTATTTCTTTCTCTCGGTATTTCATTATCCATTTTATTTGTTATTAAAATCGATAATCTGTCGAAATTACTTATTTAACCGTGAAAGCTAGAGATACCAAAGAACAGAGAATGAACGGTTCAGATTTTGTACACCTGCTTGGACTACCCGCTTCAATTGAAATGTTTATTTCTAGCCGTATAGACGCGAGCCTTTGAGACGTACATGTCCATTTAGATGTCATTACTACCTGAAATTTTTTATTAAGATAGGGTATACCGATTCGAATAACTAATTTACTAAGTTGGATGGCTGTGGGAACACTTTCTGTATACATATATCTCTCTATATATATTGAGATAGAGACAGTCACAGAGAGAGAGAGAGAGAGAGAGAGAGAGAGAGAGAGAGAGAGAGAGAGAGAGAGAGAGATAGTGAGAGATAGAATAAGCATATCATAGTTCAAGGTACATAAGTATAGGCAAGTCGATCCCTCTTAACTAAAGAGCTTCTACATTTGTATACAACTAATATACATATATGTAGCTATAAATAACAAGCCCCTGAAACGGCACAGCCTAATCTCAAGAGCAGCCATTGGGAATCGTGCCACTGTGAAGTACTATATATATATAGAGTGAAGTATTTGGAGTGTGACAAATAATTGTGGATCAATAGAGAATCGAATGGGGCAGATGTTGCTCAAGCATTGATGCGACAATTAGGATTGATAGATTGATTAATTGATTGATTGTAGACAAGTGAGTTTTGACTTTATTGGGCAAGTTGACCATAAGTTATTCCATTTGCTCTTGGATCCATTCGCGGTTGGCCGCAATGCTAATGAAGCGCTCGGGCAGCATGCTGCCGCACTCGCCCAAGGTCTCGCCGGCCAGGCCGACGAGGGTGTCCTGGTAGACAGCGGGTCCGCCAATGTCGCCGGTGCAGGCGCCCTGGCGCCTCTGGTGGCCCAGGCAGAGCACCTGGTCGTTGCTCTCAACGACGTCGTCGGCCATGCGGCACTGGCGCTCGGCCTCAGTGATGGCGTATCCGACCTGGAGAGTGCGGTACATGTCAGTATCCGTCTCCTTGGTGCGTCCCCAGCCGGAGATGTCCACATAGACGCCCACTGGTGGGTTCTCAGTGGCCAGGGGCACGGCGGCGACATACTCATTGAACACCAGCGGCTCGCTGAGGCGCAGCAGTGCAATGCCTGTCTTCAGCTCATTGTAGTTGGGGTTCACTGTGATCTCCTCCACGCGGATGCGCTGCCCGCCATTGTACAGATCCACAGTGCCAGCCGCAACCATAAATAGCTGTGGGGGCCACCTGCAGTCGCCAGAGTACACGTGTAGGAGTTACAGTATAAGAGTGAGGGGCGGAATGGGGAGCTACTTACGGCGTATCCTTGCCAGCCGAGCAGACGCAGGTGAGGGCGGTCAGGGCATAGCGCTCGGCAATGATGGCAGCGCCACAGTTGTAGCTGCCGCCAATGGAGAGCGCCGCCTGGTAGGGCAGCTGGCCCGGCACGGCATCCTCGCCGCCGGCCACGCGGGCCTGAGGGCCAGCGCTGACCACGGAGCAGCCCAGCAGGAGAGTCACAAATGCGCAGCTGAATTTCATTCTGTGTTCTTTTTTTTTTTAGTTCTGATTTGCTTTGCGAATGGCCCGATCCGGGGTGGGCGTGTAGCTTTTATAGTCCCTGCGGGGTATCAGGGCTAGATAGTAGCTATGACTATCAAATATACATACATACGTAGTGCTGGGTATTGGCTGTATCTTATCTGTGCATTGATGAGATACGTCCCATCCGGTTGGCATCTGATTAGACAAGCAGTTGGCCACTGATCACCAGCTAGTGTGCCTGGGCTAGAGATAGGTAGAGAGAGAGAGAGAGAGAGAGACAGAGGGAGACAGCAATAGAGACAATCCCAGCAAACAAATAGAAATCAATGAACTTTGATTGCAGTTGCCAGCTGGGGCTGGTTGGGGAACACGTTTGCGGCTCGACTGGCTGGAACTGTCGGGAATGGTGGGGCCAATGCACTCATCCCCAGCAGCTCGCCACGGCTGGACAAATTGAAGCACGTACACCAGTCCATTCGTTTTGGTCAGCCACAACTGGTTGTTAACAAAGCAAAGCAGAAAAGCAAAGAGCAAAGAGCCAACAGCCAATGGCAATGGCAGTGGCTCAAGCTGAGACTCATCCATCTTCATCTGCTTATAACCTGAGCCTCGCTGGCCAATTTCGACATTTACAGACTTGACGTCACCATCAGCGGATCTCCAGGCGCGCRCACACACACACAATGATACTGCGGAACACCATTGCCGGGCAGCTGGTGGTGCTGCTGTTGATCTATGGCCGCCACACCTTGCTCTCCAGCGCCAAGACGGTGACCAGCGAGCAGATGTCCTTGGCGCTGCCGGAGCCGCGCGCCTATCTGCCCGACGCACAGAATCTGGACTTTGTCTACCATGATCACGAGGAGCTGACGCGCTTCCTGAGGTGAGTTCCACGTCGATTCCATGGCTCATAGAGATCTACAAAAGCGATCTGCATTCCATATTAGGGCGACAAGCGCGCGTTATCCCAACCTGACGGCGCTCTACTCCATCGGCAAGTCCATCCAGGGTCGCGACCTGTGGGTGATGGTGGTCAGCTCGTCCCCGTACGAGCATATGGTGGGCAAGCCCGACGTCAAGTACGTGGGCAATATACACGGCAACGAGCCCGTGGGCCGGGAGATGCTGCTGCATCTGATTCAGTACTTCGTGAGCAGCTACAACACGGATCAGTACGTCAAGTGGCTGCTGGACAACACAAGGATTCACATACTGCCCACCATGAATCCCGATGGCTATGCGGTGTCCAAGGAGGGCACCTGCGACGGCGGCCAGGGGCGGTAAGCCGAAGACTAATGACTTCCCCTGAACCACGAATCGATCTATATCCCGATTTCCTTTTGCCTGGTGACAGCTATAATGCGCGCGGCTTTGATTTGAATCGCAATTTCCCCGACTACTTCAAGCAGAACAACAAGCGCGGGCAGCCGGAGACGGACGCCGTCAAGGACTGGATATCCAAGATACAGTTCGTGCTCAGCGGCAGCCTGCACGGCGGCGCCTTGGTGGCCAGCTACCCGTACGACAATACGCCCAACTCCAGTAAGTAGTCTCTAAAGTGTGCGCCAGTCCTTCAACCCGAATGTCTAGCTCGGCCTCGCGTCTGTGAGTGTTCCGATTTATAAAGTTATCTCTCCCCCTCAATTCTCTCTGTTTGAACTTTAATCCTTGCCTTCGCACCAATATGGCTGCTCAAAGGGATCTGCCGATCGTCCGCCCTGTGCGCGAGTGAGTAGACGTCCGCCGATGCTGGCTGGCTCATCTAATCAAATCCATCTCTCTCTCTCTCTCTCTCCCTTTCATTGTCTCTGTCATTGCATTTCTGTAATTTTTTGGTTATTTTAATTTGTTTCGTGTCGCACCACATGTCCCCTGGGCGCAGTGTTCCAGACCTATTCGGCAGCGCCGTCGCTGACGCCCGACGACGATGTCTTCAAGCACCTGTCCCTGGTCTATGCTCGCAACCATGCCAAGATGTCCAGGGGCGTGGCATGCAAGTCGGCCACGCCGGCCTTCGAGAATGGCATCACAAACGGTGCCGCCTGGTATCCGCTGACCGGCGGCATGCAGGACTTTAACTATGTGTGGTATGGCTGCATGGAGATCACGCTGGAGATCTCCTGCTGCAAGTTCCCGCCGGCCTATGAGCTCAAGAAATACTGGGAGGACAATCAACTGGTAAGCATCCGTGACACATTCTAGATCCACTTTGCTGCCTCGACTCCACATTTATCCATGTGATCTCTGTCCCAACAGTCGCTCATCAAATTTCTGGCCGAGGCCCATCGGGGCGTGCAGGGCTTCGTGTTCGATCCAGCGGGCATGCCCATTGAGCGCGCCTCCATCAAGATCAAGGGACGCGACGTTGGCTTCCAGACGACCAAGTACGGAGAATTTTGGCGCATTCTACTGCCGGGCTACTACAAGGCCGAGGTAAGGAAAGCAAATCGTGCAGCCAAACTGCCGGCTAGGATTCATTTATAACCAGCTCTCTGCCTGAATTAGGTCTTTGCCGAGGGCTATGCGCCCCGCGAAGTGGAATTCGTCATTGTCGAGCAGCATCCCACGCTGCTCAATGTCACGCTGCAGGCCTCCAAGGTAAGTGTGGCTCAGCTCAATCTCCAACTGCTAACTAACAACCTGGTGCTGGTTCTATCCATCTAACAAACTTCTCTATCCCATATATCTGTGTATATAACCCGATCCCTGCTCAGTATAATGTTGGCTCCGCGCGTAAGCCCAAAAAGGAACGCAAGCAACGCCATCTCCTGCACGATGAGCTCCAAACGCCCAATGAGTAAGAGTGCTGGAGCACTCACAATGGCAAGGGCAATGTCAATCCCCGCGTCTGTAAATATTCGCTGAGTGCTTTAGAATCTTTGACCTGCCACTGATCCACTAGTCCAAACATAGATCTCTAGAATCCCTCTAGTGGGCTTGCACTGCACTTGAGCGATATATACACATAGAGAACAAATTGAAATTCTTGACCAAAACAGCTTAGGATTAAACTCGTAACACTAGCCAAATTAAAAAACACAACAACAAAATATAAATATATATAAAAAATTACCTCGCACACAAATACATTTTTTTTTTTATCTATTCACTCATTATATTATTGTGTATTTATTAAAAATATAGAAAAGTGTGCACTCGTTTAAATGAAGAAAAAAACAGAAAAAAACACATTATACCCTGATTTCCCATTTTCAATGGGTTCAGGGTATAAAAAACGATCCCATAGTAAATATATTTAAGTGTTGTTGTTATTAATATTGTTAAGTCTCATGTTGGTTTTTGGCTTTTTAATGTGGACAATAAATATGGATTAAAAGTAAAAAGGAAAAAAAAAATCATTCGCTGCCAGCAACTAAAAAAAAAAAAAAAACTTTTGCCCACTTTCCACAGCGCATTGAGGGAGTTGGAGCGGGCGGGCCCTCGTACTACCGGCCGATGCAGCCGATACCGCCGCATTATAGACCAGGCATTCCACCCTACGCTGCAGCCGCTTCTACGGACAATGGTATCTTTTCGACCATCAGCAATGGGCTGAACAGTTTGTATTCAAATATTTTCGGTTGAATACTGGAATGCAGATCCTGGGTGTTTGTTTCATTTTTAAGAATTTATATGTGTAGTTTTTAGATTTAAATATGTTCGTCTATTTATTATTAATAATAAGAAGAAAAGCAATAAATACAAGGTTTTGAAAAATAATATAAAACATACGACTTATATTTGATTGGCTTATTTAAAAAGAAACGAACAACAATAGTTCACAATAAGTATCGTACACTATTTTTTGAAAGTTCCGTCACTGCTCCGCTCATCTAATGTCAATATCGAATGTTTCGTGCTGTCTACTCATTTAACGATAGATTTTGACAGAACGTTTTCAAATATCGATACATCGATACGACGTCAACAACCATACCTATTCATTCGCCATTTTCTTTGTCGCTTTGTCGCGCTGTGGGGTATTCTGAATTCTGTGATCAAAAAGTTGTGAATAAGCAGTGAAAATGGTAAATTAAATTCAATTGCATAAATAATATAATTAGTTTACAACGCATTAGATGCAAGTGAGGTGGAATATTCATATTTTCATTGATAATTTCATACAAACTTGCGTTTTTATTTGCCGGGTGTGAAAAGCCGCACGCACCGACTGCAAAACCCATCATCAGCCTCAAGCCATTTGACTTGACAAGCCCGCACACACGTGAGGGCACATAGCTTCCAGAAACTTCCATTATGTTTACATTTTCATTTAAACAGTCTGGGATATGTGTCGCCAATTGCAAAGACTGTCTCGAATTTCTTAGAAATGAATAGGCACTTTTTAAGTGCATGCTGCTGGGTGTGTGCTGCGCTTGGCAGCAGCCGATGAATCACGCACCATTTGGGGTTAGGTCCGATGCAATAGGTGCGCAGCTTTTTTACACACGAACAGATGTGCATTCATATACGCGGTGTATCCATAAACAATGTCGAAAATTTAATTGTTTTATTAACATTGATCCATATATGTGCTTTATAGGAGTTGTCATTGAATCCTGTGCGTATCCTCAAAAATGAGGCGCAGGAGGAGAAAGCCGAAATGGCGCGTCTGTCGTCATTCATTGGCGCTATTGCCATCGGTGATCTTGTAAAGAGTACCCTTGGACCAAAGGGCATGGACAAAATTTTGGTGTCCGCCGGCCGTAATGCCGGCCAGGTGGAGGTGACTAATGATGGTGCCACAATTTTGCGAGCTATTGGAGTCGACAATCCGGCTGCGAAAATTCTCGTCGATATGTCGCGTGTACAGGACGAAGAAGTTGGCGACGGCACCACATCCGTGACTGTGCTGGCATCCGAATTATTGCGCGAAGCCGAGAAGCTCATTGAACAGAAGCTTCATCCACAGATCATTGTCGCTGGTTGGCGCGTAGCCACCCAAGTAGCTCTCGATGCACTCACAGCCGCCGCTCAGGACAATTCGGCCAACAATGAGAAATTCAAAAACGATTTGCTTAACATTGCACGCACCACATTGTCTTCAAAGATTCTGCATCAGCATAAGGATTTCTTTGCCAATCTGGCCGTCGATGCAGTGCTGCGCCTGAAGGGCTCGGGTGAACTTAAGTCCATTCAAATCATCAAAAAGTCCGGTGGTACCTTAGAGGATTCGTTCCTTGATGATGGCTTTTTGCTGGACAAGAAGCCCGGCGTGCACCAGCCACAGCGTGTAAGTGAAAGTCCACACTATATTACTCCTTTACCTTTATAAATATTTGATGGTGTGTGTATGTATGTGTTTCACGCTTCCTCTAATGCTCCATATTTGCGCGTCAAATTGACTGTGAGCTATGTTTATGAGATTATCATATCACAGCCATTTTGACGAGTTTGATGTGGCAGCCACCAACTGCAAACAGTTAAGCGATGATCTGTGCAACATTTCTCATAATGTGTTCAATTAAATAATTTAGAATATGATTCTAACAAAGCTGCTAACTGAACTATGAGATCATATTAAACCAATAAATTTGTAACAAGTTTATTAAGCAACGGAATCAATAATTAGTGATCACAACTCATAGTGTCTAAAAGGAAAGAAATAGTGAATATAGTAAAAGACTCAAATTTCCTTAATTAATTGTGAAGTGAAGTGAGCCCACAAGGTTTTAAATAGATGTAGAGGCAGATCGACAATATTTTAATATAATATATATAATGGTTGTGTTCTACTTTATTTATACAGATTGAGAACGCAAAGATTCTGATTGCCAACACACCAATGGACACCGATAAAATCAAAGTATTCGGCAGCAGCATCAAGGTTGACTCGCTGGCCAAGATTGCCGATCTGGAAATGGCCGAAAAGGAGAAGATGAAGGAGAAAGTCGAAAAGATTTTGAGCCACAAATGCAATGTGTTCATCAATCGCCAGCTAATCTACAACTATCCCGAGCAGCTGTTCGCCGATGCTCATGTGATGGCCATTGAGCATGCCGATTTCGATGGCATTGAGCGTCTGGCCTACTGCACCGGCGGTGAGATTGTGTCCACATTCGAGAACCCCGCTCTGGTCAAGCTTGGTGAGTGCAAGCTCATTGAGCAGGTGATGATTGGCGAGGACACACTGCTGCGCTTCAGCGGCGTTAAGCTGGGCGAGGCTTGCACCATTGTCATTCGTGGCGCCACACAACAGATCCTGGACGAGGCTGATCGTTCCCTGCACGATGCTCTATGCGTGCTGGCTGCCACCGTCAAGGAGTCGCGCATAATTTATGGCGGCGGCTGTGCTGAAGCTCTGATGGCCAATGCCGTCATGAAGAAGGCATCCGAGACACCCGGCAAGGAAGCTATTGCCATTGAGGCCTTTGCACGTAAGTAGTAAAGAACAAAGGTCGTAAACTGTATAGTTGATTAATGTATTTCGCTGTTGGCTTCCCCAGGTGCACTGCTGTCACTGCCCACAGCTATTGCCGATAACGCTGGCTTAGATTCAGCTCAACTGATCTCCGAGCTGCGCGCTGGCCATGCCCAGGGCAAGCATCAGCTGGGTCTGGATATGAACGAGGGCAAGGTTGCCGATGTGCGCGCATTGGGCATCACAGAGTCATTCGCCGTGAAACGCCAAGTCCTGATGTCTGCCTCCGAGGCAGCCGAAATGATTCTCCGTGTGGACGACATCATCAAGTGTGCACCTCGTCGTCGTGTGCCCGACAGGGGCTACTGCTAAACACTAATTCTTCTTAAGTATTTTTGTCTAGGATTTTTTTTTAAAACCTTAGAACTCTCGTTTAACATCATCGCTAATTTTATAATTCTGTTTAAACTAATAACCACAAAGACACACACACATCCACACGAAAGCCTACACACACACACACACACACTTGTACGCAATTAGCTTTTTCTAAATTGTCTGTGAACATTGTTTCAAATCTGTTTTTGTTACACGAATTACTACTATTGCGCAAGCTCAGCTTACAACACTAAAGGGAGGACCGAACAAAAACATCTAAAAATAAAAATAAAAACAAAAACACATTTCAAAAATGTCTAAAATCAACCAAACAAACAAAAAACACACACACAAACAATTTGTAAATGAATACAATTTTTGTAAACATTTTACGTGCGCAAATTGATGCGAATTACACAGCAAAGAAAAAATAAAACAAAGGAATGATATTTATGCTTAACAAACTAAAGGCTGAAAGTTGTTTTTATTCTAGCTTGAATATATCTCAATCAAGATTATGAATGTTGTACTATAGGTAATCCGAATCTACCATCTATATAATCCATTATAATAATGTGATAAACGTACATATATAGTCAACTACAAATACATATATGATATTCGGTTCTCCAAATGAAACAATTGAGAAATAACATTGCAAAAAAATACTCTTGTCATATATATTTATTCTTTTCGTATGTTTTACAATAATAACTTGGAACTTAGTAGATCTAGAAAAAAACATTTAAAACGTGTCGGTCGAATTCCCGTTGGGGAACTGCAATTGTCATTGGCGTGTAAAAATCAATCAATCAATTATTGTAATAATACATATTCAATGTATGCGGCGGAAGCATGCACGTTGATAGCTGCTGGGAGCGTGAAGAGATTGGTGTGTTGGTGTGTTTGGCTCCCGGATTGCCAGCCGCTCAAGAATTTCAACAAAAAAGAAACAGATTAACAAATTGCTGAGTAGGCGGATGGTCTACAAAATACATATATACAGCATTGCCGAGTCGGGGCGGATCTCAGACTTAACATATCGTTGGGCTAAATACACGGCCAGACGCAAGTACGACGCGAGAGCGAGAGAGATTGAGACTGTGTGTCTACAGCCAGATAATCAAAGGGAGAGAGATAGCATGATAGGTGGATAACAAGAGAGAGAGCGAGAGCGAGAGCGAAAGCTAAAGACAATAGCATAAGTCGTCGATAGTACAGTACATGGCATTAAGTGAGCGTCGTCCTACAGACGCTTTGCTTGTTTCCAGGTTGAGTGTAGCGTTCGCACATTGGCTTTAGGAGATTGCGCATTCCATCTCACCATGCTTGGGCACACAGTCCAGCACCAGAGCGACGGCGCGCGACAAGTACGTCATGGTTCCATAGCTGCCGCTGGGTGCGCTGGAAGCATAGGGGAGCGGATACAGTATTTAGTTGATTGGAAGAGTGATTCACGGACTCTTACCTATCGTAGAGATGTTGACAAATGTAGGCGGCACCACCGCAGAGTAACATGCCGGAGGCAGCCTGCTGCTGCTCCTTGCCATCCTTGAGCTTGGCACAGCACAGTGTCGCGTCGCCCTGCACCTTGCGCTGATCCTCTAGGAACAGCTGATTCGCCTTGTGCACCAAATGCTCGACACAGATGATGTCACCCAACGAGGGCACCATATTGTGCTCGGTGACCAGGGTCAGCACCATGAGCGCCTCGACAACCAGCTGCCTGTACTCCGGCTGGGGTATTTGGTTGAGTGCCGTCTCGACTTCCAGCGCGAATTTCAGCTCTCCCGGCGTCATCTCCTGCGTAAGACTTTGCTGCAGTACGCGACCCTCAATGGCGAGTCCCTGACACTTCTCCAGCACGGTCCAGACGCGCGAGTAAAAATCACGTGGAACGCGATTCAGGGCTCCATCGAGTCGCCGGCGGCGCAGCCACTGGCCCTGGCGATCGTCGATGGTCGCCGTTAGCGCATCCTCGCCCTCCGGATCGCCGAGTCCAATCTGACTCTTCTTGCTGACCCGACTCGACTTGCAGCTCACTATCGACAGATTGCCACGAGCCACTGCTATGGAACAGGAATGGGAATGAGATGAGAATGCATGGGAATGAGCCGAGAGCAATGCTTCGGCATGGACTTACCGCTGCTGACCGCAAACTCCTTGCCGCTGAGTATGTGGTAGAGCAAGTTCTTCATCTCGAAGGGCGAAAGGTTAAGTAGATGCTCCGAGGCAGCCTCGCCGTCACAGTTAAGCGTGCGCGACAGCTCCTTGGCCATGACCTGAATGATAAGGCCCACGCGCAGCCGCAACATCTCGTGGAACAGCTGCGGCTCAGTGCGTATGAACATGGCCAGGTAAACCATCAGCTCCTGTGTCAGCATCGCTGTGCTCTCATCGTCGCCGTAGGCCTGCAACGGGGAATGGCACGAGGATTAGGATGTGGAACGTAATCGGAGATTGAGATTGCTGGCTACTCACATCGTGTATTAGCTGACGCAGCTCAACCTCCGGCAAGGGTGCCGTTATGGTGTGCTCATTGTTGGGCGGCATGCCGACGGTGACCTGCTTTTGGCGCACCAGCAGATCGGTGACCGCCTTGCCCAGATCCTCGACGCGCTTGCCCAGCATGCCGGCTGTATGGCGCACCAGGCCCCATAGCTTCTCCTGGCAGGCCTTCTCGTACAGGCCCTTCAGCAGATCCCTAATGGTCACCACACGTCCCTCCTCCAGCATGCCTTCAGAGTGAGAAGAATCGTTGTTATTCAAGCTGTTGATCTTGTTGCTGTTGCTGCTGTTATTGGCGGCGGCGGCGGAGGCGGATGCGGCGGTCAGATTGGCATTTTCCTCGTCCTTAGTTGTGGGGGATGTAGCATCGATGATCACTGTAGGCACAGCCGCGGCCACAGGCTTGCCCTCACCAGCACCAGCAGCAGCACCAGCAGCTGCACCAGCAGCTGCACCACCACCACCACCAGCAGTTGACAACTCGAGCATTGCATCGTCCACGAATGCTTGTTCGAGCTCTTTATTCATTTTGTTTTTTGTTTTTTATTTTTTGTTTTGTTGTTGTTGGTTAGTTGGATTCATTTGTGGGGGTTAGGTTGACGGGCCATTGTGGTGGATCAGTTGTGGTAGTTGGTAGTTGATGATGCAGAAGAGTTTTTGATAGATCGTTTCACCGTTAATGTCATGAAGAGCAGATGAAGCGGATTGTTATAATAGTTGGGTATTTTGTATGTGATTATTGTATGTGTGTGTGTGTGAGTGTGTGTGGATGTGTGTTGAATTAAAAATAAAATATATAAAAAAAATAAAATTGGTTATTAAATTAGTTCGTGAATAAAAAGCATTAATAAATAAGGCGAAGCCAACGTGAAATAATATGCGCTGTGTATAACAGTCTCTCTAAGCACCGTGTATAACAGTTTGTGTGTGATATGTGAGGGAGAGATAGTGCGTATAACAGTTAAACGTAAATGAAATTGTGCCACCAGAATACCAAAAAATAAATGAATCGAATCGAACAGAATCGTCTCAGAGATAATGGAGATCGAATTGGTAGAGAATATACATATGTATGTGTGCGGATATAACTAGATATGCTATGCCAATTGTTGTTTGGGTGGGGGAGTAGGTGTGGTTTTGGTTGTGGGAGTAGGAGTGGGAGGTGGCTTGGGTCACAGTTGCATAGCACCAACAACATTATACAATTAGCCCAACGCACAGGAAGGACACCAAGGATCAAGGATTGAATTTCAACACTTACCAGCGGCATTGTCATCAGTTTTGTGCCTTAAGCCCAGACCCGCTATGGATGCGGATAGCGATGCGGATGCGAATGTGAAGTGAGGACAAGAACGAGAGCACAAAGCACATATACAAAGAACGAACGCACAAAACAATTAAATGTGATTTAGATCGATAAGTATCGACATTAGGATCAAGCCGTTATCGATTTCACAATGAGCTCCAAGAAAATGAATTCGGAATGAGAATTGGAAACTTTCTTTTTCTAATTTGTACATCTTTGATCAATCAGGTAGCCAATCTTAAAACATTGCGAATGCTCCATTGTGAAATCGCACAGCAACACCGAAACTCCTCGAGACACCCATTGAACCAGCCACGCACAACAAAATTCTAGAAGAAACTCGGAAATTCTTCTCTATTTCTATGTCTATAGAGTATATACATGTATGTGTGGGTGTGTGTCTGTGTGTGCGCGCGTGTGTATGCCTGTGTGTGTGTGTGAGTTCCCGCAGTGCTATAGAGGTGCGGTTCAGCATTCAGTAATCCTCAAACCGGGTGAATCGGTTAAGCAAACCCGTTTGCAAGTTGACGTCCCTACAGCTCAGTGATGTGTTGGGGCCGTTGAACGGCTACTTACCCGTATTGAAGTCCAGGCCTTGAGTATCGACCAGATATTGTAGGATGTCGCCCTGCTCCTCGAGATTCTCGGTTTCGCGCAGCATCGCGATCAGCTCATCCACCTCTGTGTCCGCAAAGTTGGTGTCCACGCGATGGCGTTGAATGAGAATTTTGGGCACAGTTACTTTGGGTATTTGATCAAGTGGTGCAAACAAAACAAATCGCAAAAGTGTCAACCAAAACGAAATGATAAAGCATACAAAAGAAGAGAGAAATCAAGATTAGCACCGAATCGGAGGGAACAAAGGAAAAGTGTGCTTGTTGGATCGAGGACTAACTCTCTTGCTGGCGCACGAACTCGCTGCGGCGATCGATGGCCGAGCGGCTGTGCTGCGGATCCATGGGGTAGATGTTCTCGCGCAGGCCCAGATCGCCGCCCAGCTGCGGCGGCGAGCTGGGCCCCTCCTCGGGCGTGGTGGCAAAGGTGCTGACGTGACCCTGCTTGTTGGGCTGCAGCCAGGGCGGCGGCACGATCGACGAGAGGCGGCGTTCGGTCAGTGGCGTCGGTCCCTCCATGCCCAAGTTATCGGCTGGGGGCGAGACAGAGGGAGAGGTAAAGCATTTCATGGGAATGAGAGATCATCATCGTCAATCTCTATGGCACACTTACAGTCCACATTGATGGAGCGCGTCTTCTTGATGGCGCCCTTGCAGGACATACGTCGGCGCAGATGTCGCGGACGCAGCTGGCCGCCGCGTAGATTCATGGTGCTGCGATTGCTGAACGAGCGCAGCAGATGCTCATCCAAATAGGTCTGAACGTCCGGGTGAAGCCGGTCCGGATAGCCGTCCTCGGTGCTGCCCAGAAAGCTCAAGTCCGTGATCGCCGAGGTGTTGAGAAAGTCCTT